TAAGGGGTGGATCCTTAGGTATTTGCCATCAAAGGCAACCCACTTGGCTGGGTTGTGGCACTGTGGGGCTTGGGAAGGGTCAGAGAGGGCACAATGCCGCTTACTCAGTTCTTGTCCCACTTTCAGTCACTTCCCTCAATTCCCACAAGTGAGTTTGCCCTTTCAGGTGTGGATTCCTGGGTGCTAATTCCTGGGCTTGTGTACTCTCTAGGATCCTGTGGGCCCCTCTAAAGGACTCTCCTGTGAGACTGAGAGTTTCTCCCACCACCACAACCACCACAGGTTTTTACAGCCAGTGGTTTTCAGGCTTTAGTTTCCTACACTGGAACCCTGGTTTGCATGATCTGTCTCATTCTCCAGTTGTTCCTCCTGGCTTATCTGCGTGCAAATGTAGGATATCCGGGTCCTCCGTCTGCCGCCTTACTGCCCCAGTTCACCACCGTACAGCCCTGTCACATGTCCTCACCATCCTGGCTTCCCATCTCCACTCCTCCAACCAGTCTGGGTGAATGTTTCTTTAACTCCTTGGTTGTTGGGGTTTGATTTCCTTACAGTTCTGGGCATTGTGGGTTTTTTGTTTTGTTTTTTAAAATGTTATTTCTTTTTAGAAAGGGGAAGGGAAGGAGAGAGGGAGACATCAATGCCTGGTTGCTTCTCACATGCCCCCTACTGGGGACCTAGCTCACAACACAGGCACGTGCCCTGACTGGGAATCGAAACAGCAAACCTGGTGGTTTGGCAGGCCTGTGCTCAATCTGCACTCATTCCACTGAGCTACACTAGCCAGGGCTGGTTTTAAATTGGTTGTTACTCTTCTTTTGGTTATGCAAGGAAGCGAAGCATGTCTACACCTCCATTTTGACCAGAATTTTTTGTTTTTATTTATTTTTAGAGAGAGGGGAAGGGAAAGAGAAAAAAAGGAAGAGAAACATCAATGTGTGGTTGCCTCTTGCAAGCCCCCAACTGGGGACCTGGCCTGCAACCCAGAGGTGTGCCCTGACTGGGAATTGAACTGGAGACTCTTTGGTTCGTAGACTAGCATTCAATCCACTGAGCCATACCAGCCAGGGCTGGTTCTGTTTTCTTACTGTAGGTTGTCAATGCCTCATTTCAAGATCCAGCAAATGGATTTGGGGCTGAATTGTTCAAAAGGGGAAGGAGGAGGGATCTTTTTGTATATCCTTGAACATAAAACATAGCTATTGTTTTTTGTGAGATAATTCCAATATTGGCTTTATTCATTCTGATTCTATTTCTAGTGTCTGTTTTTCTTTAAGGTCATTTGGTCTCTTGTCATGCTTGCTGATTTTTTATTAATGCTGGACATTGTATGTGAAAGTATTTCTAGATACTCTGGATGATTTCTCTTCCTTTAGGGAGGATTTACCCTTTCCTTTGCTGGGGTAGATATTCTGAGATCTGATAATATTAGTCAAATCCAAAAATGGAGTGATTTAAGGCTGAATACCAGTTTGGGCAAGGCTTTGTCATCTTTTGTTTCATTTCAGCTTCTAGGATGTGGATTTTTCCCACTGAGAGCCTGGGATGGTCACTAGGGACCCTTCTCTATGGCGTCATTTGAGCTCTAATCCTTGCCTCGGTACCAGTAGTCTGCATTAAACTCCACTTAGCTTCTCAGAAGTTTTCTTCTTGGCGTCTTAATTCTCTCTTAAGCAACTTAGAATTCAACAAGTTTCTTGAAGGAAAAAAACCAGCATTTTGTTGAGCCAGTTCTGTCTCTTTCATCAGAATATTGGCCTTTCAAGTCTATAATTTTTTTCTTTATGTCTAGCAGTGGCCCTCTGCCTTGACCTTTTGCTTGAATTTTTAAATTCATACCTCCCTTCCCAAAATCAGAACCTTGAAAGAGCAGGTAGCTGCAGAATGTCAGCTTAACTGCCCTCTTGGCTTCCCCCTGTTATATAGGATTCACCACATACGTTTTTGTTGCCTCAGCATTCTTCAGTACATTTAAACAAATGTGCACGTATGTGCAAGCATATATAAATATGTATGTGCATACATGGCCTGTCCAGAAAGTATCCAGACATCTAATCGGAAAAATAGAGACATTTTTTGAAGAAGATACAAGACACATTTTACACAGGACAGTGACGCCTCAGACCCCTTCAAAGTAGATACCTTGGAACCTCACACAGTTCTTTCAGTCACCATCATCTGTCCCACTGTATTTTCTTGAATCTCATTGACAGTCTGAAATCTCCTCCCTTTCAAAGGTGATTTTAGTTTGGGGAAAAGCCAAAAGTCACAGGCTGCCAAATCTAGGCTGTAGGAGGGCTGAGTCACCTGGGTAATTTGATGTTTCACCAAAAAACTGCATAAGACATGTGATGCATGAGAGGGTGTGTTGTCATGTGAAGCTGCCAGTCAATCACCAGTTGACCATAGCTGCAGCCTTCTGAATTACCCAAATAGTTTCCACAGAGGGATGTTGAAGCTTAATGCAAAATTTGATAAAGATTCATTGCTCTATTTGTTCAGGCATTTTGAATGCAACGGCTATACAGTATACATGCTCACCCAACAGCATCTACCACCCCCGATTAAGTAGTACAGTGAAGTCATCACTGTTCACGCATGCATATTCCAGTCCACTCTCCTTGGCTGCCAGGTTACATCAGTGTCATACAAACCATTCTCATTATATTAACAATGGCTGGACTTTTTCCAAGATAGATCTCATAAATCTGTTTTTTTTTCTATTCTTGGCGGAAGCATTGCATTATTACAAACTACTCAATTATATTCAGAAGCAGGAACTTGGTTCTAATACATTCTTTTCTGTTCCATTTGATTTTTAAAATAATGTTTTTTGAATGAGCAACCAAAATGATTTGACAATTGAATGGTCTAAGACACTCAACAAAATAGAAAAAAGACACAGCTTTAAAGCATTGGCAGTTAAGATAATCAGAATGACAGGATTTAAGCCCAGTCAAGGTTAACATCAGTAGTGGTGCGTTAGACAACAGTATGGTGGTTACCTGAGGGGAAGGAGGATGGGAGGAGGTTGAAGAAGGTAGAGGGGGTCAAGTATATGGTGTGGAAGACTTCATTTCAGATGCTGAGCACTCAATGCAATACACAGATGATGTATTATTATAGAACTGTACACTTAACATGTATATAATCAACCCTGGCCAGGTAGCTCAGCTGGTTAGAGCATCACCTGCATATGCCAGGGTTGTGAGTTCAATCTCCAGTCTCGGGGCACATACAAGAATCAACCTGTGAATGTGTAAGTAAGTGCAACAACAAAAATTAATGTATCACACACATTCTCTTTCTTTCTTTAAAAAACAAAAACATAATTTTATTAACCAATGTCACCCCAATAAACTTAATGAAATAAATATTTTTTAATTTGTGGTACGTCATAATGTTTGTACCTTTGATGAGATGTGTGGTGACAATGTTACTTTACTTCTGTGGTCTTCCTTCCAAAAACTCATAACTGCAGTCTAATCATTAGGTAAACATCAGAAAATTTTCAGTTGACAGTCTACAAAATACCTATGAAGGTCATCAAAAACAAAGAAAGTGGAACAAACTTTCAAAAACAAGAGGAACCTAAGGAGACATGACTACTGAATGTACTGTAGCATCCTGCATGGGATTCTGGACTAGAAAAAGGACCTTACACTTTGGCCAGGTAGTTCAGTTGGTTGGAGCGTCATCCCAATACATCATGGTTTACTGGTTCAATCCCTGTTCATGGCACATACAAGAATCAACCAGTGAAGGCATAAATAAGCGGAATAACAAATTGATGTCTCTCTGTCTCTATAAAAAAAGAAAAAGAACCTTAGGTAAAAACTTGAGGCTATCTGAATAAAGTATAGGCTTTAGTTAATAATAATAATAATAATAATAATAATAATAGTAATAATTGGTTCAAGATAAATGTGACAGGTATTACCGATGTTAGGTGTTAATAGGGAAAATTGGGTGTGGGGTATATAGTAACTCTTTGTGTTATCTTCATAGTTATTTTATATATCTAAAACTGTTCTAAAATGAAAGTTCATTATTTAAAAAATCAATAGCGGCCCTGGCTGGTATAGCTCAGTGGATTGAGCGTGGGCCTGCGAACCACACGATCATGGTTCGATTCCCAGTCAGGGCACATGCCTGGGTTGCAGGCCAGTTCCCAGCAGGGGACTCATGAGAGGCAACCATACATTGATGTTTCTCTCCTTCTCTCCTTCCGTTCCTCTCTAAAGATAAATAAATAAATAAGTAAATCTTTAAAAATAATAAATCAATCGATCAATAGCGTTTGACCTCCCAGGCTGTGCTATCTTCACAGTTACTTTTGCATACCTGAAACTGTTCTAAAATAAAAGTTTATTTCTTTATTTTGTCCTGGCTGGTGTGGCTCAATGCATTGAGCACCAGCCTGTGAACCAAAAGGTTGCCAGTTTGATTCCCAGTCAGGGCGCATGCCTGGGTTGCAGGCCAGGTCCCCAGCTGGAGGCGTGTGACCAGTCAGTGTTTCTCTCACACACTGATGTTGCTCTCTCTCTTTCTCCCTCCCTTTCCCTCTCTAAAAATAAATAAAATCTTTAAAATAAGGGTTTATTTTTTAAAAATCAATAATATTTTACCTCCTAGGCTGTGCTTTATTTATGGATTTGTTTTCTCTCTGTCTTCATAGTCATTGCTACATTTTTAGTACCTGGGAGAACGTTCAGCACATTTAGACTCTTGATAAACATCGATTTGATTGTATGGATGGAAGAGAGCAAGGGAAAATAAGTTACAGATAACCTCTAGGTTTCTGATATAGGCACCTATGTGGATGGTAATACTCAGAGAATACAAAGAGGAGAGATTGGAAACTACTTAATGCTTGGCAGATGATGATATTTTTTTGTTTTGTGTCTGTGATATAGTTAATAAAGAAATCTGATCAAAGCCAAAATGATAGCTTCTTGGTTCTTTTCTTAAAGCAGTAAACTATTCTTTTTTTCTTTCAGGCATACAAAACTTTTGCTAATCGAGTGAACAATTTGAAGAAAAAGCTAGATCAACTGAAGTCAACCCTTCCTGATCCAGAAGAATCACCAGTTCCTTCCCCAAGTATGGATGCTCCCTCTCCGACTGGTTCTGAGTCTCCTTTTCAGGGAATGGGAGGTGAGGAATCTCAGTCACCTGCCATGGAGAGTGAGAAATCTGCCACACCTGAGCCTGCAACTGATAATCGTGATGTTCAAGACATGGAGCTCTCAGATGTGGAAGATGATGGGTCAAAAATCATTGGTATGTCTTCATGCGATTAGTAGGCAACTTGTTCTTTATATTTTGCTTCCCACCAGTGAACCTGTCCCGGACAGGTATTAAAAGATAGTTCAGTCCTTACAAGGTATAATACCAAGATAGCATTACTGTTTGTAGAGCAGTGGTTCAGGATTCAGTAAGCCACATGGATTAAGAATCATTGCCCAACATCTGTGTTGTTCAGTATGGTAGCCACTAGCTACAGGTGACCGTCGAATATTTGAAATGTGGCTTGTCCAACTTGAGATGTACTCTTAAGTATAAAATGAACACACTGGATTCTAGAAACTTAAAAAATAGAGTGAAATATCTCAATATATTGAAATAAACATGTTATTAATTTTACCTTTTTTAATGTGGCTACTAAAATATTCAAACTTATATATTGGGCTTGAATTCTGTTTCTGTTGAACAGCACTGCTCTAGAAAGAGGAGCACTTATACTGGAATTCTTTATTCCCTATTACTCTTGACCTTCAAGATTCCAAAGCCACAGTTTTTTAACCACACTTTCAAAATTAACCTGGATTGGTGAATTGTTCCTGAATTGTTCCTCAGACATCCAACTTTTATAATTATTAGAGCATTTGACTTGTGTGGAATTTAATGTACTGGCTGCATAGTGCATAGTGTTCTAGCTGTTAAAAGGCATTAAAAGTTAAAATTGCAGTTTCAAATTAGTGCTTAATTGTACCCCCCAATAGACCAATTATGAAAGCCACAGACACACACAAAAAAAAATGAAATATGTACATAGTTCCTAGTCTTTAGAAAGCTCAGGTTAATGAAAAAGGACAATTTGTGACATAAATATCATTATGGAAAGACAGAACATAAATGTGTGCCCAATAACAACATGTTTCTAGAAATGTACAAATTTAGTACACAGATACTAAGAAGATACAAAGAAATCATAAGTAAGATGAAAACAAACTTGGGAAGTTCATTTTAAACAGGTGTTAAACTCACAAAGAATCAAATTATAAAGAGTGGGACTTTTAAAAAAATGAAGTGAATGATTTTCTCTAAAGCATAGTGCTTTTTACTCCCAAATCAGGAAATATTAGGACATACTGTTTCATACTGGAAGCAGAGTCTGAAAAGTAGTAAGATGCAGTAATATTTATGTTTTTTTGTTGTTGAAATAGTAGAGGACAGGAAGGAAAAACCCGTGGAGAAGTCAGCTGTATCCACCTCTGTACCTACAAAGCCAACGGAAAGTGTATCAAAGGCCTCTTCATGTACCCCAGTGCCTGTGACCATGACAGCAACACCCCCTCTACCAAAGCCTGTGAATCCTTCTCTTCTGTCCCCTTCTCCAGCATTGGCTTTGCCAAACCTAGCTAATGTGGATTTGGCAAAGATCAGTTCCATCCTTAGCAGCCTGACATCAGTCATGAAAAATACTGGTAAGTAAGCTCTGTGAAGAGGATAAAAGGCAGGCTTTCATCTTTATAACTAAACCTTCTGTGGGGGGTTTTATTGATTTTTTTTAATTAAAAGTATTTTAACTAAAAATAAGAATAAAACCAGCACTTCGTCATTGTAGAAAAATCAGCCCTGGCTGGTGTAGCTCAGTGGATTTAGTGCAAACCTGTGAACTAAGGGATCACATTTGATTCCCAGTCAGGGCACATGCCTGGGTTGCAGGCCAGTTCTCAGCGGGGGACACCCGAGAGGCAACCATACATTGATATTTCTCTCCCTCTCTCCTTCCCTTTCCATCTAAAGATAAATGAATAAACTCTTTATTTTAAAAAAATCAGTCCGTGGCTTGTGTAGCTCAGTGGATTGAGTGCGGGCCTGCGAACCACACGATCACGGTTTGATTCCCAGTCAGGGCACATTGCCTGGGTTTCAGGCCAGTTCCCTGCAGGCCAGTTCCCAGCAGGGGCGTGCAAAAGGCAACTGTACATTGATGTTTCTCTCCCTCTCTCCTTCCCCCTTCCCCTCTAAAGATAAATAAATAAAATCTTTAAAAAAAAAATCAGAGACTAAGTACAGAGAAAGGAAACCACTTGTGTATAATCTTACACCCAAATGTTCTGGGAGAGTAAATATTTATCATAATTTTTCTTTCAATAATTGAAACATATATACTGTTTTGAAGCCAGCTAATTGAAAATTTTAGCTATTTGGGATTCAGTTTTTTATCTAACCCTTTTTATTATTAGACAACCAGTATGTTTCCATTTTTCACTGTTTAAAAGAAGACACTGTAAGCCCAGGGCTGGTAGCTCAGTTGGTTAGAGCATCGTCCCCATACACCAAGATTGCAGGTTTGTCTCTGCTCAGAGCTACCCGAGTCAACAAGAATTAACCAGCGACTGCATAAATAAGTGGAATGACAAATCAATGTTTCTTTGTCTCTCACTTTCCTCCCTCTTCACTGTTTAGAAATCAATAAATTTTTTAAATCTTAAAAGAGAACACTGTAAGGAACAACCTTGATGATAAAATTTTATGCACAGTCCTTCCTATAAGGTCTGATAAGTGTATAGAGCTTTTTTTCCCCATGGATATTTTAATGAAAATACAAAAGTAGAGCATCTCGAGACTTCCGCCAAGATGGAGGCGTAGGTGGAAGCACTGCACCTTCTCATACAACCAGGTTTAACAACAAAGTTTTAGCAACAAAAATGCAGCCAAACCACAGAAAATTGAACTACACGGAAGTCTGACAACAACGAACCCTTCAGCCAAACCAGTAAGAGGGGCAGAGCCAGCAGCAGAGTGGGGTCGGGCAGGAAAGATCCACCGGACTGACTGGGGTGCGCAACCCAGGCACACCAGCAGCCATAGGCAGATCCCAGGTGTGGAGAACCGGGTGGACCCACTGAGGGCGAAAGGCAGTGGACTCACTTCTGGCTGACCAAAGTCACACAGTCGAGCCCAGAAAAACTGGTGAAGGAGCGAAGCGGTGAGACAGACCACGCAGGCCCCAGTGGCAGAAAGTGGCAGAGGGGACCGCCATTGTCCCTCTCTGACCCTGCCCCCACATAGAGCATCACAAACCAGCCACCTGAATGGCCCCACCCTGGTGACAGCTCATTAGTAACAGGCACAGACAGATCAAAACATGGCTCAAGAACAACTCAGAGCCCCAGAGCCGATAAATCTAAGCGAACAAGAAATTGCCAAACTTTCAGATGCACAGTTCAAAACACTGGTGATCAGGATGCTCACAGAACTGGTTGATTTTAGTCACAAATTAGAGGAACATATGAAGGCTAAACTAATTGAAATTAATGGAAATGCACAGGAAACCAATAGTAATGGAAAGGAAACTGAGACTGAAATCAAAGGAGTGGACCAGAAAGAGGAGAAAAATGACCAAACAGAAAAGGATGAAGAAACAAGAATTCAGAAAAATGAGATGCTTAAAAACCTCCGGGACATCTTTAAACGCTCCAACATCCGAATTATAGGGGTACCAGAAGGGGAAGAGGAACAGCCACAAGTGGAAAACTTATTATTTGAACAAATAATAAGGAGAATTTCTCCAATCTGGCAAAGGCAATAGACTTCAAGAAGCTCAGAGAGTCCCAAAGAACTTGGACCCAAGAAGAAACACACCAAGGCACATCATAATTACATTAGCCAAGATTAAAATGATAGAATTCTAGAAGCAGCAAGAGATAAGGGGACAGTCACCTACAAAGGAGTTCCCATCAGGCTGTTAGTGAATTTCTCAAAAGAGACCTTACAGGCAAGAAGGGGCTGGAAAGAAGTATTCCAAGTCATGAAATCCAGAAACCTACATCAAAGATTGCTCTATCCAGCAAAGCTTTCATTTAGAATGGAAGGGCAGATAAAGTGCTTCTCAGATAAGATCAAATTCAAGGAGTTCATCATCACTAAGTTCTTATTATATGAAATGTTAAGGGGACTTACCTAAGAAAAAGAAGTTAGAAAAGATGAACAGTGAAAGGACAGCAAACTCACAGTTACTAAGAACCACACCTAAAACAAAAACAAAGAGGACAGCTAGATCAGGAGCAGAACCATAGAAATGAAGATCACATGGAGGGTTAGCAACAGGAGAGTGGGAGAAGGAGAAGGGGGAAGAAGGTACAGAAAATAAGCATAGATGATAGGTAGAAAATAGGAAGGAGGGTAAGAATAGTATGGGAAAACAGAATCTAAAGAACTTGAGACATGTGGTCATAAACTAAAGGGGGGGAATGGTGGGGGGGGTGTGCAGGGTGGAGGGGAATGAAGGGGGGAAATAGAACTGTAATGACAATGAATAAAATACATTAAAAAAAAAGTAGAGCATCTTCATGAACTCATTACTTATCTTCAACTATATAAACGTATGGCCTACCAATCCTGATTATTTTGAAAAAAATCCAAATTATTTTACTTCTTCATAAATACTTACATATGTTATTTCTGAAAGGTGGATTCTCAGAAAAACAGCATTTAGGTTCCTAAGCCTTTTCACATTGTAACTAAAATGATCTCCAAAAATGTACTGTTTATGTTCGAAGTACTATATGAAAATCCCTGTTGTGCCTCAGCTTCTCCAACATTTTGTTTTAGTCTTTGTCAAATTCATTCTTAAAAAGTCATTTGTTTGAATTTTCATCCTTTTGGTTAAAGATGTGATTAAAATACTTTTTACTTACCCTTTTATTGAAAAATAAGCTAGTGATTATATTTTGATCATTAAAAAATCAGAAATGATTTTCTCTTATTTTTATATACTTTTTCCCCATGTTAAAAATTAGTCTAGTGTTTGAAAACATAAAAGTGTAAAGGAGGTTGCTTATATAACCTTATTTCGTAGACCATCTCAAAAGCAGAATCTTACTAATCACATAAAATCACGCTGTGGCTGAGTTAAATTGCAGTGGGTCTGATGGGAATCACCCAGCAACATGTACTGGGCGCCTACAGGACTCTGAGGCATAGGTTTCATTCTGTAGAGAAAAAAGAAATAGGTTTCCTAGTTTCTTTCTATTGCAGCTCTCAAAACTAATGGAATATGTATGAAAAACAACTTAATAGTTGTTTATTTTAGGGGTGTTCTAGCTGGGAACAAATCTTTATCTGATTTTCAGATTTGTGTGTGTGTGTACAAGCCATGATATGGATGATCATTTATGAATCAGTCACAGAAGAATTCCTGTTAAACAAACCAAACTTGTTGGAGTGGAAAGTACCAGGGATTTAAAGGTCATTTTGAATTGCATTTTCTTGAGTTAATCTTTCTGCCACCAGGGGTCAGTCCTGCATCAAGACCTTCTCCAGGAACTCCTACAAGTCCTGGCAACCTCTCCAGTGGCCTGAAAACACCTGCACCTGCCACAACAACATCTCACAACCCTTTGGCAAATATCCTCTCGAAGGTGGAGATCACCCCAGAGAGCATTCTGTCTGCTCTTTCCAAAACCCAGACACAATCAGCACCTGCACTGCAAGGTAAACTGACATGCCAAAGGGATTCGAACTATGGATGTTTGTCTCTGGCTTAGTCCTGGGTCCATTTCCGAGCAACCCAAAGCCAGGAAATATATAATACAGTTAATTCATTATTCTCTTTATATTAATCATCTGTGAGCTGGCATTGGTAGAATTTTAAGGGTCAAAGATGAAAGGGACTTTACATATCATGTAGTCAGTCTAATCCCTTCCTTTTCAAGTGAGGAAATTTAGGCTCAGTGATGTGATACGACCTGCTTAAGGTCACACTACAACCTATTTTGTGATAAGCCAAGACTAAAAGCCAGATTTCTTGACTAGTGTCCAGTACTCTTTCACCTACATGCACCATGACACCCTAGGAGCTGCGTTTATCCCAGCTCTTAGTACAGATTAGTATATATTTATGTTTACATATATTAGCGTTAACTGAAGCTAAAGACAGTAAGGTCAATCTATCAAATATCTTATGAAAATATGATTATCTCACATACATTCTAATGGTTTATAGAAGCTTCTATTTATAGATACACAGTAAATATGTTTTGGTTTTGCCTACATAAAACCTCTACCTTATTTGAACCTCTCTTCAGCTTTGTTAATTATCTGCTTTGTGCCTAAAACTATTTGTTGCTTAAAGTTTTTATAAAACTTACCTACTCTCTGTTCTCCCATCCTCCAGATACCAGCACAACCTCTTCAAAGCATCTCAGTATAACTATGCAATGAATTGCAAAGATCAGAAGAGTATCTTTATAGTGTTTATTCTGTATCAGTAGTTCCCAACCAGGAAGTCTCTAGGGGACATTTAGCAAGGTCTACACTTGACCTTAACCAAAAGGCCAAGAGGTGATACAATTGGCATGGTCTGGACATTTTTGTCTGACATAACTGGGGCAAGGGTGGGGATGCTACTGTGTCTAATGCATAGAAATCAGAGTAGCTATGGAACATTCTCCAGTGCACAGGGCAGCCCCAACAATATAGAATTATCCAGCCCCAAAAGTCAATAGTGCTGAGACTGAGAAACCCTACTTTATGTGGAGAGCAAGCAGTATAGGTATCTATTAATTTTCTTTTCTAAACTGTTCTGTAAGTGAATCAGCCAAGCATTATATTATACCAAACTTTGTCTTAAGACATAGGAGAATTTTGTTAAATAGAACCAAATAGTCCTGGCTGGTATGGCTCAGTGGATTGAGTGCCAGCCTGCGAACAAAAAGGTCACCAGTTTGATTTTCAGTCAGGGCACATGCCTGAGTTGTGGACCAGGTCCCCCATAGAGGGCGCACAAGAGGCAACCACACACTGATGTTTCTCTCCCTCTCTCCTTCCTTTCTCCTCTCTCTAAAAGTAAATAAAATCTTTTTTAAAAAAGAAAAGAACTAAATACTATTAAGTGATAATTCATAGCCCCCATGTATTGGCACCAGCAATAAAGGATTAGTGATAATACTACAGCACATCTTACACTACTAATTTCAGGGATAATTAGTTTGAGAGATTGGCGTGTTTACGATTCTTCCTTCTAGTCCTATAGTTAGAGTAAAAACTTAAACTCACTTGTTTTAGCTTTCTATGTATAGATTTAACATGTCTTAAAGAAGCAGCTTTTTACCCTCAGCAAATTGTTATAATAATATCACGGGAACTTTCTCCCATCCAAGTACTAACCAGGCCCGACCCTGCTTAGCTTACGAGATCGGGCGTGTTCAGGGTGGTATGGCCATAGACGGGAAGTTTCTTATTAGGCAAAATTTGAGCAGAACTAGGTGTGTTCTGACAAAATGAGAAGTGGGAACCCCAGAAAACAACTTTGTGGAATAACAGGAGGGTAGTTCATTGCCTTTCATTTCATTGTGGAAAGTAGAATTCTTGACTTTTAAGAGAACTGAGCCCAGCAACTTAAATAGATGTGTTTCTTCAAAGACTATAAAGGAAATTTTGTAGAACTTTGTTGTGATTATGTCATTCTCAGCCCTTACAGGAAATTTTTCTTTCCTTTTCTTTTGGAAGATTTTCAACACAAAGAATGACTTCAGTGGACAAAGGGTTGTAGTGTGTGGCTTGTAAAGTTTGAAGAAAAGTAATAGTTTGTAGCACAAGACCGTTTCACCTATTGCCAGAAGTCTGAGTAGCATCTTCAACAAGATGGTCTTTTGAGGAATTTATCTCACAGTATCTGAAAGATATGCTGAAATACCTTTCTAAAGTCATTTGACGTTATCATATATCACATTCTAGTGCTTTGAGGACTTCTGGTTTTGGTAAGAACAGTGACTACTAAAAATTAAATCATACTATTAGAAGCAAGAAAATTATATAGCTAGTGAACTGTTTTGAAGTGAAATATGGATTTTTTTCAGGAGGACAACTGAAATGAATATTTCAATTATGTGGATACTACTGAATATTGGATAACAGTAGAAATTATGCACCATTATTTAGAAGTAGATGGCAGTTCAAAGTGTTACATTGACAGAGCCTTCAAATTTTTCAGGCCTTAAATCTCTTAGCAAATATGGATTAAAATATTTTCAAAAAACATTAATTGGAGTATATGTATTAACTGAAATCTTTTTTTCACCATGTCATTATGAAAGAGCATTTTTAGTGTATAACTAAAAGATCTAAGTTGAGGTGAAGTGTACATAAGTTTTCATGTATGGCCAGAGAGTAGGTAAATTCTCCAAAATATGGTTGAATGTATAGGACCTTCCTGTTACTTTTTGTTGTGTTTTTCTAAAAATTTTTCTACAGGAGCAGTTTGTTTTGGTGGATTTCAGCCTTTGCCCCAAAATATTTTGAGTTTCTGAGAAGATTTTTGTCTCTCATTGCGTAGGGTTGAATCTTCCGTTTGGCATCAGTTTGGTAGATCAGTAATTCTTGAATTTTCTCAACTATAAGGTGGGGATTGTGTGTTGTTTTGTGAAAGAATCAGAACCTTTGATGGTCTAGCTTTGTAAGTCTTTGTGGTATATGTTTACATGTTTATTATTGCTACATTTTAAAGCCAAAAAATAGTGGCTTACACTGGCTGGTGTGTGGCTCAGTGGATTGAGTGCCAGCCTACAAACCAAAGGGTCACTGGTTCAATTCCCAGTCTAGAACTCAAGTGTGGGTTGCAGGCCAGGTCCCCAGGAGGGAGCATGCAAGAAGCAACCGCACATTGATGTTTCTCCCTCTCTCTTGCTCCCTCCCTTTCCCTCTCTCAAAATAAATAAATAATTTTTAAGGGTTAAAAAAAGAAATGATAGTTTAGAACAGTGTTTCCCCCAAAGGTAATGCCAGTACAGCAAGAGATGCTTCTTTAAAAATTGTCCCTGTTCAAAAATTTTGTAATTTGCATGTTATTTCTCTCTTGAGAATAACATAGGTGCATTAACTTACTGGAAACTATTGTGGAAGTTGCAAAGGAGGGGCAGAACACCTATTTAGAGGAACAGTTCCACAGATAAATACTAAGAAACAACTGGCTTAATGTGTTATTTTAAGAATAGCTTTGCTGCTTTTCTTTTCCTGCTTTGTCTTGTTGAAACTATAAATGATTCTGACACTAAAATCTCCCCCTTCCTGTTGCCTTTTATTGTGCCATGTTGGACTTGTTTCAGGACTGGACTAGAAACATTTTGGTGATTCCCTGGCTTTATGTTGGCAAATTAAGTCTAGCATTTTCTGCGACATTAAGCAATTGCTTGTTTGGTCTTTATTCCCTTTGGCTTCATATTTTAATGTCTATCTGGTTCCCACTTGAATAAATGAGAATATCCGGTTAGCCTAAATTGTTTTTATTGTCAGGTAGGAAGTTGTTCTTTTCAACTCCTCTAATCTTTGTTTCTACAGGACTGTCATCTTTACTTCAGAGTGTTACTGGGAACCCAGTTCCGGCCAGTGAAGCTGCATCCCAGAGCACTTCCACTTCCCCTGCCAACACCACCACAGTCTCTAGCGTAAAAGGAAGGAATCTGCCCTCCAACACCCAATCCTTTATTCCCAAAAGCTTCAACTATTCTCCTAATTCATCAACATCTGAAGTCTCTTCAACTTCAACTAGCAAGGCCTCAATCGGGCAAAGCCCAGGGCTTCCAAGCACTACTTTCAAGCTACCGTCCAACTCTCTGGGGTTCACGGGCACCCACAATACTAGCTCTGCTGCCCCACCTACTGAAGTTGCCATGTGCCAATCTTCAGAGATCTCCAAACCGAAGCTGGAGTCCGAGTCCACCTCCCCAAGCCTGGAAATGAAGATCCATAACTTCTTAAAAGGTAATCCTGGTTTCAGTGGCTTAAACTTAAACATCCCAATTCTGAGCAGTTTGGGGTCCAGTGCCCCAGCAGAAAGCCATCCCTCAGACTTCCAGCGTGGCCCTACTAGCACTTCAGTCGACAACATTGATGGAACCCCTGTAAGGGATGAACGCAGTGGGACGCCCACTCAAGATGAGATGATGGACAAGCCCACGTCCAGCAGTGTAGATACCGTGTCCCTGCTTTCTAAGATCATTAGCCCTGGTTCTTCAACACCCAGCAGTACAAGATCACCACCTCCTGGGAGAGAGGAAGGCTACTCCCGGGAGCTCTCCAATTCTGTATCTACATATCGGCCCTTTGGCCTGGGCAGTGAATCACCCTATAAGCAGCCTTCAGATGGAATGGAGAGACCATCTTCTCTGATGGACTCTTCACAGGAAAAGTTCTATCCAGATACTTCTTTCCAGGAAGATGAGGATTACCGAGATTTTGAGTATTCAGGGCCTCCACCCTCTGCCATGATGAACTTAGAGAAGAAACCAGCCAAGTCTATCCTGAAATCCAGCAAGCTTACTGATACCACCGAGTACCAGCCAATCCTGTCCAGTTACAGCCACAGGGTCCAAGAATTTGGAGTAAAGTCTGCCTTCCCTCCATCTGTAAGGGCCCTCCTGGACTCTAGTGAGAACTGTGACCTTCTCTCACCTTCCCCTGGGCTATTTGGTGCCTTCAACATAAGAGGGAATGAACCTGGGTCTAACCGGTCACCGTCACCGAGTAAGAATGATTCATTTTTCACCCCTGACTCCAACCACAATAGCTTGTCTCAATCTACCACTGGGCATCTCAGTTTGCCACAGAAGCAGTACCCAGACTCTCCTCACCCAGTCCCACATCGTTCCCTTTTCTCTCCGCAGAATCCCCTTGCTGCTCCCACGGGCCATCCGCCCACATCAGGCGTGGAGAAAGTCCTAGCCTCCACCATTTCCACCACGTCGACGATTGAGTTTAAGAATATGCTTAAAAACGCCTCACGAAAGTCCTCAGATGATAAGCATTTTGGCCAGGCCCCGGGCAAGGGCACTTCAAGCGATGGTGTCAGTCTCTCAAACCTCACCCAGCCCAGTTTGACCGCCACTGACCAGCAGCAACAAGAAGAGCACTACCGAATAGAAACCCGAGTCTCCTCCTCCTGCTTAGACTTACCTGACAGCACCGAAGAAAAAGGGGCCCCAATAGAAACCTTGGGTTATCATAATGCATCCAATAGGCGGATGTCCGGGGAGCCAATACAGACCGTAGAGTCCGTCCGAGTTCCTGGGAAGGGAAATAGAGGACATGGGCGTGAGGCTTCAAGGGTGGGTTGGTTTGATCTGAGCACTGCAGGCAGCTCTTTTGACAATGGCCCCTCAAGTGCCTCTGAGTTGGCATCCCTTGGGGGTGGGAGCAGTGGAGGCCTCACTGGCTTTAAAGCAGCACCATACAAGGAACGGGCACCCCAATTTCAGGAAAGTGTCGGCAGCTTTCGTTCCACCAGTTTCAACTCAACATTTGAGCATCATCTTCCCCCATCCCCCTTGGAACATGGGACACCCTTCCAGAGAGAGCCAGTGGGTCCGTCGTCTGCCCCACCCGCTCCTCCTAAGGATCATGGTGGTATCTTCTCTCGAGATGCACCCACTCATCTGCCCTCTGTGGATCTTTCGAACCCCTTCACAAAGGAGGCAGCCTTGGCCCATGCTGCCCCACCCCCTCCTCCTGGAGAGCACAGCGGAGTCCCTTTCCCCACCCCACCCCCTCCGCCCCCTGGGGAACATAGCAGCAGCGGTGGGAGTGGTGTTCCCTTTTCCACTCCACCCCCGCCTCCCCCTGTTGACCACTCTGGGGTTGTACCCTTCCCAGCCCCACCGCTGGCAGAGCACGGAGTGGCAGGGGCAGTGGCAGTATTTCCCAAGGACCATAGTTCCCTCCTTCAAGGGACCCTGGCTGATCATTTTGGGGTGCTCCCAGGACCCAGGGACCACGGGGGCCCCACCCAACGGGACCTCAACGGCCCTGGCCTTAGCCGTGTGCATGAGAGCCTGAGCCTGCCCTCTCATTCTCTGGAGCACCTGGGCCCAGCCCATGGAGGAGGTGGGGGAGGCAGCAACAGCAGCAGTGGCCTCCCCTTGGGTCCCTCACACAGAGACGCCATCAACCGGAGTGGTATGATTTTGCGGAGTCCTCGGCCAGACTTTCGGCCCAGGGAACCTTTTCTCAGCAGAGACCCGTTCCACAGTTTAAAGAGACCCAGGCCACCTTTTGTTAGGGGCCCTCCGTTCTTTGCACCAAAACGCCCATTCTTCCCTCCCAGGTACTGATGGAAACCAAGAGAAAGGCATTTTAAACAGTCTAGAGAGCATTGGAAGTAGGAATTTGGTTTATTGTTGTTTTTGTTTCCCCTCCTTTGATTTGTTTTGTTTTTTTTATGACCAAGGGCCTCCCTTCCAAAGTACGAAGTCATATGCTTACATTTCACTATTCTATCCAGTCCTCCTTCCCACTGCACTCACCTGCCTTCCCCAAGTTGTTTGTATTTTAGGGGGCGGGTTGGGCAGGGGACAGGCAAAGAAACACAACCAAAGCCACTTTCCTTTGGCTGGGAGTTTGAGGGATGGGAAGGAAAGCAAATCTTATATTACCCTATCTATTGAAGAGTATTAATACATTTGAAATAAAACTTCCACCATTACAGATGATAGCGTGCAATGTTGGGATGTTATTTTGGGGTTGGCTTATCAGTAGTCACTGGAAGAGTTCCTGTCCCCTTCTCTCTCCAGCTAAGTAACCTGCTGTAACGAGCTTGGCTCCCTTCCCTGTGTGCTCTATGCCCTGCTGACAGCCAAGAGATGTTGTAAGGGAGGAAATGTGGGAGACCTTGGACCTGTCAGGCTGTTGTGTTTTGTTTGTTTTTAAAGGCATGTTGAAGTTGAGTTTTTTAGCTTTCTCCTAAAAATCTTAATTAAAAAAAAAATCACTCTTCCAAAGTATTATCAGGCAGTGACTTTAAGGAGACAAATTGCATTGTATCCTTATAAAATGTCTTTGTTTTTCAAATGATAGTGGGCTGGATATACTTTCGAGGTTAAAATAAGGAGTAATTTCAATGTAGAGAGTTAGAGAAAGGACCTATTTATTAACAGTGCGATGTGACCTGCCCATTCTTCATAAATGAGAGAATGGAAAACTGGAAAGTGTCTTTGAGATTTCACTCCTCTTGCACCCCAGGCTCTTGCTTCCTGCTTTTCTTTCTTGACTTTCTCTTTCAGCTTGCACTCCTGCTGCCAGAAAGAAAGTCACTACAGTCGACAGTTATTACAACTGGTGCAACTGTAATATTGTCCCTGTATTTCTTAATGTAAGAAGTAGACATTTTTACCATGGTGCCTCCCTAACGCGATGCTTGTTGTTATACTTCAGCAAAAGTTAACTACTAGGGAAAAGGAATTGTTTGTCTTTCCTTTCTTCTTGCCTTTGTCCTGTATTCACTCCCTTCTTGGTCTTTCAGAGAAGGTTCAGCAGCACCTTTGCGTTACACCTCTTCAGATATGTCCAGTGACAAGTGAGCAGTACAAGACATGTCTTTACAGAAACCGGAGGACCCAATAAGTCCAAATGTAACCCACTCTACAGTAGCAGCCCTTCACATTGTCAAGGCTCAGCCTTACCCTCACCTCCCACTCCTAATAGGAAATAAAAGATATTTCTGCTCTTAAGTCATTTCTCATGAAAGAGTTCTCCATGAACTGAAAGGCTTCTAATTTGTGATTCTGCAGCTAGTACTAGGAAAAAGACAATCACCATACTTTGTTTATATCTGATATCTAGTGACACTGAAAAGCAAATGTTGCTTTACATTTTTAATTTAGTGTCTTACCCTAAGGTACACACACTGGAAATGTCCAGCTAAGTGAGTAAGACAATATTATGTTGAGTGTTTTAGAGAACCCTACTAAGTTTCATGTTTTCTTCCAAGTTAGTATAGAACTAACAATAGGAAGTGTGGGGATTGTTTTGGATTCCTGCAATATTTCCTTAGTGAAATATTTAAGGTGGGCGAGAGGGCAGTGTAGTGGCAGAAGGTGATGCTTTGTCTCAAAATAAACTTGCTTTTCAGATAAAGAGCAGCTTAAACCAGGTGTGTGTCATAAGTTGGGAGTTCCCATGTGATTTATGCCATGTTATTTATTTGGGCTTGCTACGTGTTCTGTGGTTAGGATGCAGCAAGTCATTCATCTTCCTAATGCATTTCTGTTCCTAAACCAACTTACTTTGACCCTCTCAAGCCTCTCTGCCCTGTAGCTCTCCCCACAAAACTGCATGATACCATGACCTTGTATATGGGATGGGGTATATAGTGTAGCAAAAAAACAGTCTAGTTACATTGAGTCCTCAGACGTTTGTTTAGGGAAAAGTATGAGTAGGAGAGAGGGGGTAGGGAGGGGGAGGGAGAGTTAAATAGAACTCTCAGCTGAAAGTTTGGTGGTTTTTTGTTTTGTTTTTTCACAAACTAAGTGGGATGTGTCTCATTCTAAAAGAATGTGAATTCTTTCTGCTGCTCTTGTTTAAGCTAAAAGTAGTGTTTACTTGAAAAGGCTCTCTGACCATTTGGTTTTATTAGAAAATGTGAGGGTGTCAGGAAAGTGGCTTCCTGAATGCTGAGGCAGAATAATTGTTCTCAAAAGTACGATGGCTAATACATGAAAGGAGGACCTTGTACAGTTTTAAAGATGGACTTTCAAGGGTTGAATTTTTTGTGGGCTGTTCTGTTTTTTAAGCCACAAAAATCCTCGCACTTGTTTCAGGATGGAAGTGAGGATTTGTATGACTGTCAGCTGTTAACTTTAAGGAAATCTGTCTACAGCAGTAAATGAAGACGACAATGTATATATGTGATATAGTGAAACAAAAGACAATTCTGGTATTCATAACATGAAACAAAGGGGTTTTATTCTTTCTGTGTCTGTGATTTAAAACTCCGTGCCCATGCTCTGACTTTTGTATTTCAACCTGAGTTTAAAAAAAATAAACAAGATATTTTTTAAAGAAAGCATAGCATAGTGTGTCTTGGAAAGGACATGATTCACGTGAAAGCTGAATATATGAAGTTGTTAACTGAGGTCCTTGGTGTTCACTGTAAAATCACAGGCAGAGAATTGGTGGGGGTCATGGATATACCAGTACCACTGAAAGCTCAATGATAACAGCATCAGAAAATAGAGTCCTAAAGTACTTTGTAATAGTTCACTCTTCTGTGAGTTTATATGAAAAGCTCTCCCTGCTTCCCTCTGCCCTCCCAAATCCTGAGGGTAAGTAGAATTTGGTTAGATTCCAGGGAAGGTAAATTGATCAGAGAGTAGGGCTTAATCCTTTCTGATCTCCAGAATACAGTGTCTGTGATATACATGGTACAGCGCACCTATCTAGATAATGTGAATATGCTAAACTTCCTAATTGCAGAATATTCACTATCCTGAAATTACTGGTTTATGCAGAATTAAGCCTCAACTGTTATTGTTTTTGAAGCCGCTGTAAATTACTGCTTTTTCCCCCTCTTACCCCCTTTTTTGAATGGGCAGGGGCACCTGTTAAGATTAAAATTAGATATGTTGGATTGATATTCTCACATGTTCAGTGTGGAAGACAAAACAAGTACATGCTTTAGGGCCAACAACAATGAAATCCTTTTGAAATGTGTATTAATATTACTTAATAAAGTAACTAGTTCTAAAGGTTTGACATTTTTCTTTGAGATTTGGGGCTGTAACCAAGGGCCCCTGGCTTCTCTGGTGAGTGCAAGGTGGAAATTACTACAGAAGCTGAAACTGCTGCTTTATTGTACAGGCCAGTGGTTGGAAAACCTAAGTTCTCTCCAGCAAAGACCCTCCGGTGACTGTCCAGGGCTGAAGGTGAAACCGGCTACAGAATGCAAAAAGCAAGCCTGGATATATCTCTGAAGATACGATTGGATTGGCTTTTGGTCTAAGTGTGTGGGGGGAGGGGGCGGTGGGTGTGCCTGCATATTTCTGAGGCATACACACAAAGATACCACAGACCACTCACCTCCCTCCCGTGTAACTACTTGCACTTTCCTCTTCCAGCCATTCCGTCCTTTTTTAAGTCTGTTTGTCCCCAGTGTTATGTTTTTGTTTTCCAATTTAATAAAATATGGTTTCCTTTGTTGTGTGGTTGACTCTTCCCCTCTCACATTGATCTTGTCCAGCTGTCTCCTTTGACTTCTGCACTTGATGTCACAAGGCAGTCTGTGCCTCTAAGAAAGTCATACCCTTGTGGGTTTTCTGTTTGATCCTTTGTGTAATTAAATTTTGGAAAGGGAAGATGGGTGGAGTGAGATCAAAGCTGTTCAGGGAGTGGCTGGTAATGAAGTGGGCTATACTGTATGGATAGTTATTTGTGTATGCAAGAAGTTGTACAATTGTGAGCAAAGGAGCATGTTTTAAAGCAAGCATAGAATTGGGGGAGGAGGATGACAGGGATCCTTCTTGCCAGTTCTTTGCCCACATCTACCTTTCTTGCTGCATATTGGCGATCTGTCACGGAAACCACACTTCACCCTTCTCTCTTGCCCCATCCCTTAACCCAGTGAGCTTTACTGGATGGAATGTTGGCTTTAAGGGGTAGAGAGTGTCATGGCACCTAGATCAGGCCTGGGTCACTGGCAGGGTAGAGGCTCTAAATAGCCTTGATTACGGGAAGCTATACATGTGTGTCACCAAAAATTCAGAAATGGCAGTGGCTTGGGAACACACCGAGCGGGTAGGGTGTACTGCTGAGCTGACTGCTGCTGGTGTCTGGTTCTATTTCTTCCTTGTCCCCTCTTGGGACCTTGACTGTCCCACCTGAATCTTGTCTCCATTCCTAGGAGGCAATAATAGCTTTCAGACTTCCCCATTGGCCTTTCTGGACATGTTGGAATGTATCCTTCCCCTGAAGTTATTTTTAAGCCAATCTGGTATGGGAGGGATGAGTTACCCCCTCATGTATGTAGATAGTGATACAAACACCATCTGAATGGATACAGGGTTTGAGGTGTTTCTCATACTTGTTTATGAGTAACTGTATAGACAAGTTTGGCCAGCTGCTGCTCACAATTGCTGAGTAGTAACTCATAGGCCACATAGACAAAGCTACTAGAGGGACATACTTGAGATATTGGCTCTTAAGTAAACATCCTGTTCTCCCTTCCCCCATGTAGAAGTAAAAAGCATATGAGCCTCAAAGAAAAAGAGTAAGTGTAGTATAAAACTCATTACTTCTGACTAGCTACTGGGGAGAAAAGGAGAAACCTTTCATGCTTAGTTACAAGCTTGAGAAAGGAAGAAAAGGGCTGAGATCTCTTTAGAAAATGATGATGCGGTTACCTTATGCTCCTTTATTTTTCTTTTCCTTTGTGCTCACTGTGGCAAAAGTCAAAAGCTGAGAATACAGGTGTGGCTGGAGGGGCTAGTGAGCAGTGCCAACAAAGGAAACAAATATAGGCTGCAGCTTTTTGTGTTTGACTCAAAGGGGTGTTGGCTAACCCAGTCCACCCCAGACCTGTTGGGGTTCATAACAAATTAGATGTTCCAGCAACTTCCTTTCATCACCATTGTAGCCCATTATTTTTGAGAATTACTCAATTCTTTGCTGCATAATTTTTGGAAAAGATGACTTGAAACTTGTTAACATTTTTCTTGGA